CTTTCTGGAGCAGGCACAGGCAGCCCCAGGGGGGCTGTGAGCCGCTGTGGCATGGGAGGCGCTGAGCACGGGGCGAGCGAGGGGCCACTTTCCCCGCCTCCCCTGCTTTCAGCTTTTCGCCAGGCTCCTTCCTTGCTCAGGCTCCTTCCCTGCCCAGGGTCCTCCCCCGCCCTCCCCCCTCTTCCCCCTTACCTGCGGTTCCAGTGTGGTACAGCCATGTGGTCCCAGGCCAGAAGCTCCAGCTGGGGCTTCTGGCTGGGGGGGTGGGGCCAGGCGGGCTCTGCTGTTGTGGGGGGCCGCCGGGGTTTCCCCGGGTCCTACTTCCCATGGTTCCTGTCATTTTTGACAGGAATCAAGGGCAGATAAATAGTAATTTTTAAAATTTTTTAGGGGCCCTGTGGGCCGGATAGAATGGCCTCGGGGTCTGAATCTGGCCCACGTAGCTGCTCTGTGCTGCAGTGAAAACCAAGTTTGTCTAAGAAGCAATTGCACTTGGTTGTATCATGGGGAAACTTGAGTAGCAGCAATATCAGAAAGCTTCCTACTCCTTCAAACAAAACAGCTGTTTCAAACACTTGTTTTCTTATTTCTTGCTGGCTGGGTCACAAACATTTCTGCAAGTGTAAGAGCCATGCAAAATACAGGCTTCTTTAACTCAGTTTCACATAGTTTTCCATTTTAAAACCAAACAGCATCTTTGATGCAGCATATAAGTTAATGTTATGGCAGTCATATTTCCTGTTTTCCATGAAAGACATTGACAACTAAAACATAAATTACTTTGTCATTCACTCAGTTCTCAGAGGCTTTATTGAAAACTCATGGATGGAAGGTAACTTACTTTCTTGAATCAGATTTATACATGTGCAAAAGTTGATGGCTGCTTTTCAGATTTCAAAATGAATGAAAAAATATTTAAATCAATACAAAATTTTCTTTATCTTTGATAATGGGTAATGTGAATTAATACATAAAGTTTTCATTTTTTAAAAGTTAAAAACCTTTTAAAATAGTTGAAATGTGGAAACCTAAATTCAGCTAAAGGATATGAAACTAGTAGGAACACTTGAACTTTCATTGGCATTGGGGCAGCCTCTCCATTAATTCACTTTCTACCACCTTCATAACATTTTCACGATTACAACTTAAAAATTCTTGTTCTGTAGCACTGCAGAGACAGGATTTGGGTTTTTCCATAACAAATGTAATAGAACATGTAAAATAAAGCACCTTCTGGGACTTCACGGGGCTACAAATGAATGTCCTATATGAACATTGGACTGCTATAACATTAACTTATATGCTGCATCATGTCCTATATGAACATATGACTGCCATAACATTAACTTATATGCTGCATCAAAGATGCTGTTTGGTTTTAAAATGGAAAACTATGTGAAACTGAGTTAAAGAAGCCTGTATTTTGCATGGCTCTTACACTTGCAGAAATGTTTGTGACCCAGCCAGCAAGAAATAAGGGTGGAATAGGACCCCTACTAAATGGACAGAAGCAACTGGTGACGAACAGGGGGGACAAGGCTGAACTCCTCAATGAGTTCTTTGCCTCAGTGTTCCTAAGCAAGGGGCAAGACAAGTCTCTCACTGGGATTGTGAACAGGCAGCAGCAGGGCGCCAGACTACCAAGCGTAGACCCTGAGATGGTGCAGAGTCACTTGGAGGAACTGGATGCGTTTAAGTCGGCAGGCCCGGATGAGCTCCATCTGAGGGTACTGAAGGCACTGGCTGACGTCATTGCACAGCCACTGGCGGGAATATTTGAACACTCATGGCGCACGGGCCAGGTCCTGGAGGACTGGAAAAGGGCCAGTGTGGTCCCCATTTTCAAGAAGGGGAGGAAGGAGGACCCAGGCAACTATAGGCCAGTCAGTCTCACCTCCATCCTTGGCAAAGTCTTTGAAAAAATTATCAAGGCTCACATTTGCGAGAGCCCGGCAGGAAAAATTATGCTGAGGGGAAACCAGCA